GAAAATAAATAAGGGAGGGGGGGCGCTTGTTGGATACCCTAGATTAGAGTAGTTTTACCTCAGTCACCCGGAGAACCTACCCCTCGTTCTGGCGTAAATATCTCCACTTCTATTCAATATAGATAAGTAATTTCTTCCCATGAAAAACAAGGCAAACGCAAACGAGCAAGCTTTTCGATGACACCAATAACGCCACATGTCCGGAACCTGACGAGCGCCTGATTCCGCCATGTCGTGACACATTGGCCAAAGTCGCCGCTTTCACTCTTTATCTCCGGCAAACCTCTCCCAATCAGAGATCACCTAGCCAATCATTGACTTAGCTAGCAGCCATGAAGAGAACCCCTTCACGAAGGAAGTTGTGCCCCCCCCCCCCCTCTCGCCCCGAGATAGAAGAGTTAAAGGGACGTAATCAGCAAATATTTCAAGTGAGGCAAGAATAATGTTGTTATGTCCCTTGTTATCTACACCATTCTCTTCTTCTCTTCGCCCTCCTCCCTCCCACTTTCTCTCTCTCTCTCTCTCTCTCTCTCTCTCTCTCTCTCTCTCTCTCTCTCTCTCTGCGTGAGAATGTGCGAACGTGCATGCATGTGGGTGCGTGCGTGAGTGCATTTTACATCAGCACATTCGTGCCAAACTACGACACCTTGTACCAACACGTACGTAGGAGAAGCCGGTCTTTTCCATGCAACAGCAGCATCCTTCGCGGCACATACAAAAATCGAACGAACGACATTTCTACCTCTACTATATAGGCTCGAAAAACCTCTATGACAGCACGTAAAGCTAGTCTCGTTGTAATGTTCGAGAATTAACCTGTCAAACAGCAGGACAGCTCCGCTACATAATCGCACTCTCACATTGCACAGCAATCGCAAGGCAAGATAGACCGCGCCAAGGGATAAAGTACCCGGCCGTGTTCAGCGTGCGTCCAAGGACAACGTACAACAATAAACACGCTACTTGAGGACAGCCAGTGTCTCACCATCGCCTCCACACACCACTAATTGCTCGGAAGGTGGAACATTTTTACGCCTCGAAATAAACATAATTAGAAGCACGATAGCTTTATCGTGCTTCCCTCCTGCCTCTCTTCTTCTTCTTCTTCTCTCTCTCTCTCTCTCTCTCTTCTTCTTCTTTCTCTCTCTCTCTCTCTCTCTCTCTCTCTCTCTCTCTCTCTCTCTCTCTCCTAAAATAGCCCGCAGTCTGGCAATGAAACCGGCGGATTTATCAGACAAGTTTTTAACATGATTTTTTTTTTCTTTTTCATAAGCGAATAGATCTAGAAGCGGCAAGCCTGTACGGAAAATACACGTATATAAATATATTTCTCAAAACAAAGTATTATAAAGGCCTCTCTATGAATCTCGTGTCTATGCGCGCGCTGTGTGTGCGTGTGTGCGTGCGTGCGTGCGTGCGTGCGTGTGTGCGTGCGTGTGTGCGTGCGTGTGTGCGCGCGTTAAGAGCGTTATAATGCATGTTCATATACGTTTGTGTTTTGAATTATGT